TGACACTATTAATGAACGCATCGGCTCTCCATTGAGAGAGAGCGCGAAGGCAAAAACAACATCGCTTGGGAGAAGAAGATATCGCAGAGGCAAACGGGAAAAGAAGGGTACTTTAGCCCTTAGGAGACGAGAATAAAAGAATACCTAAAGGCTGTAGGGGAATAACATTCCCATGAATATTTACTGTTGGGAAAGAAATATTACCCTCACTTGGGAAAGAATACCCAACCAAACATGGGTATTCTTAGTCAGGAAAAAAATATTCCTACTAGGAATCTTAAAATCCTCCATCCAAAAGCCTCCTTAGGGTTTTTCTAAGTCTTCAATCTAGGCCCTTGATAACTTTACGATCAAAAAATTTTCCTTAATGCGGCGTTTGGCTTAGCTATAAAACCCTAGCTTGTATGTGGGTTGGATCAGGCCTATTAGCTTGCTTAGACCCAGGTAGCCTGCTTATTGGGTCAGGTGAGTAGGCTTTATGATTCTAGACCATGAATATTATCTTTATTGTATTGGATTGCTTGACCTGGACTTGGAATTAATCGTACTTTCGAATTGGACTTGACCTGAAATTAAAAAAAAATAAAAATAAATTAATAAACAAAAGAAAAATAAAACTATAAATAATAATATATATAATATGTTTTCAAAAATTATATATATATATATATATATATATATATATATATATATATAAAATATTATAATACATAATATAATATTGTAATATATATATACACACAAATGTGATAATAACCCCGGACGAAAATGGATGTCTACATTTACCTTATCAATGGAGTTAATGGCAATGAGGTTGAAGATGAACAAAGTTTCATGATGTTTCTAGTTAAAAATCCAATACACTTGTCTTATAATTAACTTAAATGAATTAAAAAATTATTTAAGGAGAAATGTCAGTTCTACCCTTATAATTTCATGATAATTACCATGCCACATGTTAATGTCATCATTGTAAGTCAAATATGAACAAAGATATTCATATTTTGCCCTTGCACTTTTCCATAAATTTCAATCTTACCATTTTAATCCAATGGTCCCGATTTAACATGGAAAATCAACTTAAATCCAATGGTCCATGTTAAATTCTACCATTTTAAGACATGAAAATGAGTTTTCTAACCTTTCTCCAACATCATCAAAATATTCTGAATTTTCGATTCGGTCTGATTATTAAACAAAATTTACCAAATTTATCGCTTTATAGCTTTTAATACAAACTTCGGATCAAAAATCTGCATAACAAGAAAATGTCATTCTTTGGGGTGAACTATTCATTTACGATCCACTTTGGCCACTAAACTTTTGAAATCAATGTTTGGTCACTAACCAAAATTTTGGGATATTACAACATTCATTTCAAAGCACATGTTAGTATCTTCCTAACATTAGCGCATATTAGCAATAAAATTCATAAAATTCTTTTGATACTTATTAGATACTAATTCCATTTTATAAAACCAATGTCAACCTTAACACTTCAAAATACAATTTCAATTTTCTCATTATCCAATTCAAAGAATATATCACATAACCATTTCCAAATCCACAATTTAATCACTAAAATAAATTCTTTTAGGATTCATCTCTACATTTCCAAAATATTCAAAATGGTCTCTCGCATTTAACTTGAAATTCAAGTATCTAATAACATATTCAAGCATGTCAAACATCCATTTAGTCATTGTACATAAACTTTTCATCAATTTCCATTTTAAATCCATGTTTTCTATATTATTTGATTTGGTCCCCAAATCTTTACAAGCTTCCAAATTGCTCCTAAAAATATTCTAAAGCTTGTAAAATCATTCATTCATCATTTCTAACCTTAGGGAAATTTTTCAATATTTTTCCCTAATTTTTCTACCTAGACCGAATATAACATGATGACTTGGACATGATTTTCAATTTGATTCAAGCATGAATTCAACTTCCAAACATCATTTCCAAGCAATTTCAATTAATCTCATATCAAATTCAATTCATACATCCAAATTCCATAAAACCCTAATTGACCAATTTGCATAAACACCACTTTCATTTGTTTTCATCACTTTCCAAACATAGAAATGATTCAACAACATCAACTACATCATAATCCAACCTTAGAACATGAAAACCTAACATCTCTTCATCAATCCAATTCAAGAACTTAGGGTTTCAAGCATAAATCATGAACAATGATAGATAATTTCATGCTTTCATCCAAATTCCTAATAAATTGGCTTGAAAATTAAAAAGAAATTTTTCTTACCTTAATAGGGACTCACGACAATGGAGAACAAAGGTGGAGAGATATCATGAAATTTCTAATTAAAACTAATAAGGCATTTGTTCTTTTAATAATTAAAATGAATTAAAAATCATTTTGATGTCAAATGACCATTTTACCTTTAAAATCATATAATCCATAACTTTCCACATGTTAATTTATTCATCCAAAGGTCAAAAATAAACCAACACATTGATAGTTTCCAAATTTTACCTTGAACTTTTCCAAAATTACAATCTTACCATTTTCATCCAACGATCCAAATTTAACATGGAAAATCAATCTTAAATACAATGTCCATATTAAATCCTTCCATTTTAAGCCATGGATGACATTATTAATCTTGTCTTATCATCCGTCAAAATATATCAATTATTCGATTCGGCCCGATTATCCGAATTTTTCTCGAGCTTTAATGCTTTATAGCTTTTAATACAAACTCTGTACGAAAAATCTGAGTGACGCAAAAACTTCATTCTTGGGGGTAAACTACGAGAAAAATATATTTTTTGGGAAAATTATCATTTTGGTCCCCAAGCTTTTCCAAATTTATTTTTGGCCACTAAACTTTCAATTTATTCATTTTGATCATTAACTAAAATTTTGGGTATTACAAATTTGTTATAAATCGATAGTTACTTTTGAAACATCAGTAGAAAAAAGAAAGAAAAACCCAGGCGTGAAAGAGTTCCGGCAGATAAAGGAAGCAATGAATATCTAGTTGGAAAACTTCTCTATTTTTATAATGCTCAGCTAGACATTGGTTTTACAGTGACCACAATGAGTCAGATGATGAACAATACGATCAAGGTAACATACCATATTCTCATATATCTAAAGATTCCGACAAAAGGGGTTGCCTATTTAGAAAGACTAACTTGCAAGTTATATTGTGATACTCAAATGCAGACAGAGCTGAAAATTATATAGATAACAGATCATCTAAAGGTTATTATTCCTTTGTATGGGGAAATCTTGTGAGTTGGTGAAGTAAAAAAATAATAATCTATTGTTTCCAAGAGCAGTGCTTAATCAAAGCTAAGAGTACTTGCAGTTACAATTTCTCAAGGAATTTGCTTCAAGTGAGTATGAAAGATTCGGGTATCAGTTCAGAACTTTCTTAACCAATTGATTACGCATACACATTCTATAAATACAGCTTCTTGAACCCAATACTTCTAGAGAGAACAACATTTATTTTTACCACTGACTCCACTGAATGAGTTTAAATAAAGTAAATTTTTAAATGTGATAACAAAACAACCATCCACATAATAAAAAATCCAATTCATCGTGATCGAATCAAACATATTACAATTTATAGACACTCATTCTAGAGAAGATTGAGAATTTTGAAACATAAATAATATACACTCCAACTTGGGAGTAGTGTGCAGATATTCTATCGAATAATTTTAAGAACCTAATCCTGAGAGGTTTGTAGGCATGTACAAACCCCAACTTAAGGGGAAATGTCGAATATTCAATGTTTAAATATAGAAGATAGTTTCCTATTTTGTAGATATTAGAAAATCAGGGGAATAATTATGTTTCTAATATTATTTCTTACAGGAGAATATATATATATATATATATATATATATATATATTGAGTTGAGTAGTTTGTGAATAATTCGATCTCGACTTGGTCAAAATTCGGTCAACGATTCACTAAAGTTGACTCGACTCAAATCTGAGCTCAATTTAATACTTTTATGAGTCGATTAGAATAAGGTTCAACTCGACTCGAGAAATTTGCGAGCAGCTCGTTAATTTTTTTAATAATTTTTAGGATTTTATTTATCTTATTTTTAGGATTAATTATGAATTGTTAAACTTCTTTTTCTTCAAGAATGATTACAATATGCTAGTTTGATGTATTTGTGGTTTGTTACTTTGGTTGTAATACGTTAGTTTGGTGTAAACTTTTGAGTTACTTCAAACACTATGTTGATAATGTTTTTGTTAATTTTGGTAATTTATGTTTATATTAAGCTCTATGTAGTATTATAAGATTTTATATACATTTAAAAATAAATCAAAAAATTTGGTTAGCTTAACGAGCACGAGTCGAGTAAAATTTTATCGAATTTATCAAGTTGAGCATGAATCGAATAATTTTCAAGTTAAATCAAACACTACTCAATTTGTGATCAACTCATTTGATAAACACTCTTAGTCGTGCATATATATATATATTCAATCTCCAATTTACTGGATTTGAGGATAGTTTGAGATATTATTTGATAATTTGAAAATTTGAATGTTGAAAAATTAAGTACTGAATTTAAATTATAAATTTATTTAGTATTTTACTAAAAAAAAGAAAAAAGAAATAAATATGATTATATTATTTGATCAATATAAATTTTAAAAGATAATAGTATTAAAAGGAATAAAAAATAAAAAAGCAATTAAAATATTATTCTGTAAGAGGTAATAAACACTTTTTCATTAAAAATTCTGATAAATGGTTTTCTATTAATTAAAATTTGCAATAAATTATCAAACGTACCCTAAATATTATATAAAAGATTGAGATATTTTCAACAGAAACAGAGAAATTATATTAATTTAAAATTGGAAAATTTCCTAAAAGAATTAAATATAAAATTGAACATAGAAGAGGAAGCAATACCACAATTAGACCAAAAGAATTATATATATGAAGAAGGTTTTTCTAAAATTTCCAATAAAAAAAGGAATTCTCAACTCTCTCCCCATATCCCCGCCGCCAAACAAGCTCTGACTCGAGCCATCCTTCTCTTGCCCCCCAAGTTTCCGACACACCAGGGAATTATTTTTTATTGAATCTCTAAACTTTCACTTCGAGATTGATTTTTACTCTACTCTTCAGATTTTGGGTTATTTTCTGTTGTACTGCTGTTGCTGTGAATTCTGATCACACCGCTGTTTGAAACCCTGTCTTGGTGAGTTTGTTCTAATTTTTTTATTATCTTTTTACAGTCCTGATCAATGGAATGGGTTTCTTTTTGGGGGGAAAAGAAGAGATGAAACGCTTGAATGATTAGAAAAGTAGATTTCGGTTGTGGGTTTAGTTTATAGTATTAGTGGTATGATTTAATTTGTTGTTTTGAATTTTAACAGGGTTTAGGTGACTGATTTGACTGGGGATGAAGGTTTAAGTTGTGGATGTCTTTATATGGGTCCTGATTTGTATCTGATCGAGAAAGCCACTTCGAATGTGGTTTCGACTAATAATAATGAGTGTGTGGCTCAGAATCAAGAAAACAAGGGGAACATTGGTATGGAGGTTGATCTTATTGAATGCGTCAATTCTGGGGAGTCTGAGATGATTGATGTCGAATGCCAGGAATGCCAGAACGCTACCGAGTGTTCGAGTTCTTTCAGTGACACGGTATCGGGGGATGAGAACGGTTTGATTGCGAATGGTGAAGTCGAATCACCTCTGTTAGTCCCGGGGTTGATTGGATCGTTATCCGATGGCTGGAGTGAACCGTTTCAGATGGGGTAATCTTTATTGTCGCATGTTTTTATTGTTCTTTCGTAATGCAATAGTCTCGAGGTGCAAATGAGAAACTTGAATTCGGGTTGCACTGTCTAGCACGAGCTATTGAGCCGGCTGAATTCGAGTATCTTAATGCTTGACCTGAGCAGTGCCCGGGTTTAATCAGGTTCTTTTTTTATTTTCAATTAAGATTTGAAAATCTCAATTTTAACTCGAGTTCGAATATAAACAATTGAGTTTGTGGTTGATTATCGGAACCACAAGTATTCTTTTTAATAGGAAAACGAGCTTAATCAAGAAAGCTTGAGAAGCACAATATTTATCTCAAATCAACCTTGAAGGGAAACCTTAAATTACAAGCAACCTGAGCTTCTTATAGGTTGCCCTTGGTTTTGCTTGTGATATTGAAAAGTTCTCATTCTCCATTAACTTGATATAATGGACTCATGCTTTTGAGACTATCGCCATGTGTGGATTGTCGACAATCATATTTGATGCATTAGTATAGATTTTACTCCCTTAAGTTTAGTAGGAAATAGGGAGGGTAATTACAAATAAATGGAATTTATATGATCATGTTTCACTCTTGCAACGTGCATATTTTGTTCTAGATGTCGGATAATTGGATTTTCTTTTAAATTCTTCAGGAAGAGAAGGTTAACAGATCACTGGAGGAGGTTTATACATCCTCTTATGTGGCGCTGTAAATGGTTAGAAATTAAATTTTGTGAACTGAAGTCTCAAGGACTCAAGTATGAGAGAGAGCTTGCACAATACGATCAAAGCAAACGGTTTGAGTTTGAAAAGTTTACTTCTGGCGGCTTTGATGCAAGGTTGTGTGCATTTCGTTCGAAAGCTCCAAGGAAGGAAGTAATGAAGAGGAAGAAAAGAAAACGAGTAGAAGATACTGCAGATGTGGCATCATATATGTCGCATCATGATATATTCTCGTATTATGGTATGCCACTTGTGATTATTGTTTATACAATGCGTTTTATTCTAAAAAGAAAAGCTCTAACTAAGTTTTCCTTTGCCAAATAGAAAATAAGAAGTCTGCTGTTGCTGCTCCTGCTGCTTTGCTTTCAGTCGATGATTGGCGTGTTCTAGGTAAGAAGAATTAATTGTGTCCACAATTGTGTATTGTAGATTGTATGTAAAGGCTGTGAATGAGGATATGATTCATAAACATCATACGCCATTGTGTTTTTTTTTCAACTGCAAATGGCTGTGAAATTGTAGTTATAATATCTTGTTTTTGTTTATTAATATGTACCTCAGTTTCGAAGTTGATATTGGTGGAACTTTTGAAGTTTCGAGTCGTTATTTGATTTTTTTTTTTTTTGATGAAACAAAAAATGATTTCTGCATTTTTCTATTCAGTGTGTGTTTCTGTAGATAATGAAACGATCCATCTCATGATTTCTACAGATAATAGAATGGTCAATGGCTATGATGATGATGAATTCAATGATGGATGGCCATTTGAATCTAGAGATGGTGATAACTTGACAGAACAGATCCTTCCGAAGATTGAATTGCTATGGTCAAGAATTCGGACACTGAAGACACGAATGGACAAGGTAGTGAATGGAACTCCTCAAAAGTTCTCGTCTATCATCATTTTGAGTTCACTTGTACCTGCTGATGAATTGAACAATCCTGAAAGTCATTGTGCCGAGAAAGATGACCAAAATAGTTTGCAAGGTACCACATCCCAGCATGCATCTGAGATTGACTTGTGGGATAACATTATGCCTGAAAGTGCACTTTTGGATCATGGAGAAGTGACCCTTGTCCCGGATGTGATCAGGAGCATGAGTCAGCGTATGCTCGCTCTATCGTCGGAAAATGTGAGTTTTTTTTCTTCTTCTTTTTTGACAATTGACATAATTTCACTGCATTTTATTATTGTTTGCCTATCTTTAATAAACTGCAGTTATGTAAATCCTCTCCTTTGCCTGCATTATCTGTTAGAGTTGTAGATAGTTGAACCCAAGTCTAAGTAACATAAATATTGATCTTGTCCTGTGCAAGCTCCGCCTTTCCCTTTATCTTGTGAATAACGAACATTTTTTTTTCTCATGGTGTAATCCGATAGCGATTACACAGTGAGTTAACCATCTGATATGCTTTTCGTCCAGTGTTTCTTCTGTGATGGAACTGATCTATGGTTATATGCATAGATTGATGCTGAAATTCTAATACCAAACGAAGCAGCCAAGGAGGAGTTACTTAGTTTCGGTAGCGCCATAAGTCATCAGGTAGAGAAATCAAAGGCGGTTGCCGTTGTCGTCCATGCTCCCAGAGACAACTTGCAGGTTAACACCGCTCTTGAACCAAATGCACAGCCACCTTTTTTCAAGTCGAAGCAAGCTGATAATGAAAGGAGTAGTGGGGTTCAAAGATTGGAGCTTGGCCGATGGAGTCGGAAATCCTCGGGTTGAACCGGATTAAGTTGAATTTCACTGATATTGGGATTTCAGACAGATGAAATTGCATTGGAGAAAAGAGGATAAGTTTTTTTTTTTTTTCTTCTGTTTTGATGATAAATCATGTAAATGCCATTACCATTCCATTATTTCACCCTAGCTATAATATACACATCATACATGTTCAGTTCTGGGGCAAAGAGTAAGAGATAATATAGTTCTTTCCATTTTTATTAAAAATCATGTTTTTTTAATAGGAAAAATTCAATCTTTCAAGCACAACAGAGAAGAAAAATGATGGCTTTACTGAATTTATATTTTTTGGTTCAATCTTGTCCCATTTTTAACCATGCTCAACTTTTCTTCTTCATCCCAAACCCTCCCCTTCAATCTCTCAAAGAATCTCTCATCTTCAACCCCAAGAAACCGTTGCTTTTGATTTCAAATAATTGAAAGGTTTCAAATACGAGTAAAAAAAAAGAAGCTACGATGATCCTGATGATGAAAAACACTTGCGAAGAAAACTTCTATTTTATTTATTTAAACAATCCGATCCGAAGAAGAGAATGAGCGACTTCAAAGGATCATTCTAATTTCTAATGCTTGAAATCCACAGTGATAGTTTGCGGCGGTGATGATGATGATCCTAGAGTTGAGTTCGCCTTAACAGAATTTAAAAATTGTCAGACTAAATTAATAAAAATTAAAATATTATAACTATTTTTAAAAGAAAAAAATAAAATTAAAACGGTATAAAAGTTGAGGGTTTTTATATAATTTAATTAATTGTTACATTATTCAACGGATGAATCTATTATTCTTTATAAATAAAATGATTGTTTTAACTTTTATATTAATAAATAAGAACAGAATATGAATCGATTTTTTAAGATAAAAAGTCAATTTGAAAATTTTAAACGTATATGAATATTGAATCCAAATCTTACTTAAAACACATTAAAGCTGAAAAATTTAACATTGCATCTCATAACCAATACTCCTATTCCATTAAATTTATCTTTTATGGACCTTTTTATCCAAAAAAAACAACTTTTTTCTCATTATTATTTAATTTTTATTATTGATAAAAATATACTTTAAAAACCTTAAATCAAATAATTTTAAATATATATTTTATAAAATTTAATTTTTAAAATATTTAAAATAACCATGTTGAAACTTTACAAATTTTGACTTTTAAAAAGTTGGACGAAATTAGTGATAGGGAAGGAGTAATGAATTCCATTCAAACATGAATAGCAGGGGTTGGAATCTTCGAATTTCGTGTAGGAAAAATATTTAATTTTTATATTATTCTGGCATACATGCCGGAAGCTCTTTCATTTTCTCCAATTTGGCCCTTTCACTATGTATATATTCCCTTTTCTGAACTAGATATGATCAAATAAAATATAATAATTCGATGCCAATGTTGTTGGATGTGGATTTGAACGTACTTAAACACGTAATCTCCTCCAATCAAATTTAATTAGTTAATGATAAGGGATTTGAGGGGTTTGTTTATTGTTTAAGAAACGTATCAAGCAATTATGCTTAAGTGTATGTGTTGTCGATAACTAAGAAATATTCTAAACAGATATTACATTATGATCACCTTAGACAATTAAAAAAAACATATTGAAAAGGGGGAAAAAAGAAAAAGAAAAATAGAATATGCAACACCAAACTTCTTTGCATTTGTAAAACAGACAAACAAGAGAAGGTCCCGACAGAGACAAAACTTGGTTTCTAATTTCTATAAAAAGAAGACATTTTCCGAAAGCAGAGAACATATCAATCATCTAACACTAAACTTACGAGCCAATGAAAGTGGGAAAGAATGGGAAATGAGAGGATTTTTTTCAATCTTAAGCAAAGGAAAGAAAGAGGGGAAAACAAATAAGAATGCACAAAACGTTAAAAACCTTACAAAATATTGAGGAGCTGCTCATCCAATCTCTGTTGCAACTCCTTGAACTTCATGGAAAGTTCCATTTTTTGCTCCTTATAGCTCTGCACCAAGTATTGCTTTCCTTCTATCACCTCCTTTAACTCTCCGACTTCTCTCCTCAGCATTTCGATTCTCTCCCCATCTCCCCTTCCCTTCTCAGGAAACTCCAAGTTAGTTTTGATGTCGAGAAACCTGTTGTCATGGCCATTTCTCATGTCAGATCACAGAGCTGTAACTGTTGAAGTCTGCTCGTTCGTGCTGACATGTCCTACGCAATGATCGGCACTTGACTTCCTCAGCCTTTGGATTTCCCTCTCAGAGTCGAACAAGTCTCTGTTTGCAACATCCAGCAGTGATTGTAAATGACTCGAGTGTGCCATTTGAGCATTCAATGAATTCTGAAGCTTCGTAATCTGATCCTGCATCTCCAGAATCATATCATCCCTTCTCTTCAAATGTTGTCTTAGTTTCTGTATCACTTCCCGCTTGCTATATATGTCGGAGCCTGATTCTGAGACACATGGTGACTCAGAGCAGTTGTGATAGAATGGCTTTGGAGGCAACTCAAGGGTATCAGCAGATGACTCCCACATAACACCATTATCCTTGTTGAACTCGGCGGTGGGAAATGTTACCAGAGGGAGAGTAACTTTAGATGGAGGCAGCAAGTGGCCGTTAGGCAGGTGCTTCCCCCACATGCTTTCAGCTCCTGTTTCCAACCAAACTTGAATAAGAAACCAACATGTAGAAACAAATATAAAAAACCGCATACACCAACACCTTAACTTTCACATCAAAAATGACAAAGCATTAGAGTGCTATGTTGCTCCATTTTTTTGTTTTGTTTTGTGAAGTACCTATATCCATCACATTTTCATATATAGGTATAGTCATATAACCTCCAAGGATCCACCAACTAGGCAACTACATGGAAAAACATATAAACAGGGAACACATCCTTGTATCCGACACAAAGTGTATCAATATATGACTAGAAAGTCAGAACTAAGAACAGCAAGAACTTGAGTGCTATTGAGAACTCCAAAGGTCCTTGTCTCCCAATATGAAGAGTAATACGGAAAAGGCCAAAGGAAAATATAGATGCCACAACCAAAATTTCAGAACTATGATGAATGATATCTCTCCATTTTTCTTAATTACCAGTGTCAGTCACATATCAACACTTCAAAGCTCAAAAGGATATGATAAAAACCTGAAAAGAAAAAACAAAATCTGCCAATTATTGATACTTGAAGGTGAGTGATTCCAGGTCAGGATGGTATTTTGCAAAAGGTTCTTTCCTAAAGGAAACCGAGGCTTTGTTTCTTCACTTTCAAGCCAATACGTTGATATGTACACCGAAAAAAGTGGATCGGGAAGATAGTAATGGGATTTTCGACAAGTCTTTCTTCATTTCTGTCATCCTGCTCCAAAGATTCTAACTAAATCATAGAAAGGTGAAAGCTAATGCAATTACTTATAAATTAGCTGCTTAACACCTGAAATGCAGTTGAAACACCTATCATCTTCTTGTGTAAATGAATACATGTTTGAGTGTAAACGGCAACCTGAAGAACTCCTCTGGCCAGAAGTTCCAGTCCCTGTAACAAGCTTTAAATTCAGAAGTAGGTATGTATGAAATAGATATTATTGGAGATACAAATACTACTTTACCTTTCGATCTAGTAGAGTCATTATGCTGTTGCTTGGTGTCAAGTGCTTGCTTGAGCTTGTAACCAAATCGGATTGATAAAGCACTCAGCAAGGCACCACCAGCAATAAGAATCCAATTTGGCCCCTCTCCCTGAAAATTTTTTGACCTTGGACCCCTAGACACCTGGCCACCTCTTGTATTCATTTTAAGAGCGAGGGGTCAGATGGGAAATCTCTGAATCATCCAAAAATGACCTGTTGTCAGAGTGCACCAAACTGCAATTACTATCCATTTAAAACAAAATTTAGATTAAATAGCATCAAGAAAACTGTGAGATCAACAAAGGACACTATCTTCGCAAGAAACAAAAGGGTTTCGTGAATTGAAAGTGAAATAAACCACTAACGTAAAAATGCTTAAATTGCATGACTCTAAAATTTAAGGCAATTTGACATTCAAATAAGGAATCAATATTCATCATCCAAACATTCCCAGACTTCCTCTAGACATTATACATTTTTCACAGATTGTTGATTAGTGAAAGCTAAAATAGTATTTAGGCTCTTGAAGGTAAGCTTTTGTCACTGTAAATCGAGTCAATGACAACATTCGAGGTTAAAATCAAAACATATTTTTAATAAGATTGAGATGATATTCTCCCCATGCTATACTTTTTGACCCAAGCAGATTAACATGCAAGTAAGCTGTTCAACTTTAATATCATCCATGGTTAGTGTTAAAAGGGAAATATAAACATGATGAACATCTCCAGCACCAGAGCTAACTTACAAACACTAGAGAACATCTTAAAAATGGATGAGCCACACGTCATCATTCGACCAAAAATAAACATGCAAAAACCCAGAGTAACTTCATCAGTTAAAAAAGCATAATCAAGTTCCATAATTGCAAATTGGTAATAAGATCAATAATAAATCTAAGCAATTTTAATGACCAATCATAACGAAAGTAAACATATGCAATTAACAACACCTATATTATCGTCAGCTAAAATCAATTAAATGTAATTGTTCTTAAACTAACTTATCTGTTACAAAGCATTCATCAAATAACTTGGAAAGAATCAGCAAACGATTATATGTGAGATTAAGTTAAAATTAAAACTGGCCGAATACTACCTCAAAGCAGAAATAACAGTTCAATGGTCTAAAAAAAAGGCCATTCGACTACACTAGTTTCGATTTAAATCGCCAAATTAAAGCAGATATCGCTATGAAGGTACAAACTCCATGTCGTAATATCAGAAACGATATAAAATTACAAGTTATCCATCTTTTTAACATTCGTCATTCTTCTCCTTCTATTAGTTATTACTTCAAACAAAACCTTACGCGGAGTAATCGGAATCAGCAGAAAAAGATGAGCGATAAAACCAAACTTCATTCAAATAGAAAATAGGGTTTTCTTCTACCGGGATTTGTCTTTAAACACTGCCACGGCGTCGTTTTCGAGAAATACTTCCCTCTATCACTGTTCGCCTCGCACGGTCTCTCTTTAAGCGAGCAAGAAGAAGAGGGTTCTATTCGAATGGCGGCTTTCGGCTA